GGTTGACTAAGTATGGTGAAGAATACAACCCCGTTGCACACATTTCTTAATTTTAAACCGTTCAGTGTTCCAATGTTCTGTTTGAATAGCTGCCTCTTGGTCCATGTAGAGATTCCTCATGAGCACAATTAAGTGTTGCAGAATACGCATACTTGGCAATGTTGTCCCTATGTTGTCATGATCCATACAATTGAAAGCCTTTGTGTAGTCAATAAAGCACCTTTCTGGTATTCTCTGCTTTCAGCCAAGATCCATGGGACATCAGCAATAATATCCCTTGTTCTACATCCTCTTCTGAATCTGGCTTGAATCTTTGGAAGTTCTCTGTCAATCTATGGCTTCAGTAGTTTCTGTATTACCTTTAGTAAAACTTTACTTGCATGGAATATCAAATATATTGTCCGATGGTTTCCGCATTCTGTTGGGTCACCTCTCTTTGGAACGGCACAAATATGGATCTCTTCCAACCAGTCGGCCACATAATTGTCTTCCAAATTTCTTGGCAGAGATGAGTGAGTGCCTCCAGTGCTGCCTCACTTTCCTGAAAGATTAAATTTTGTATTCCATCGATTCCTGGTGCCTTGTTCTTTGCCAATTCCTTCAAAGCACCTTGGACTTCTTCCTTCATTATCATTGGCTCTTGAGCATATGCTGCCTCTTGAAATGGTTGAACATCAACCATTTGCTTTGGTACAATAACTGTATTCCATCCATCTTCTTTTGATGCTTTCTGCAATTTTCAATAATTTGCCCATAGGATCTTTCAATAATGAAAGTCAAGCCTTGAATTTTTTTCTTCGGTTCCCCAACTGAAAAATGCTGAGCATTTTGGTTTTCTGACTCCAGATTTTTGCACATTTTTTTGTAATATTTGGCTTTGTCTTCTCAAGCTGACCTTTTAAATTTTCTGTTCAGCTCTTGTACCTCCTCATTTCTTTGATTTGCCTTAGAATCTCTCTGCTGGAGAGCAAGTTTCAGGGTCTCTTCTGACATCCATTTTAATCTTTTACTTCTTCTTGCCTTCTTAATGACTTTTTGTTTTCTTTCTGTATGATTTTCTTGATGTTGTCCTACAACTCTTCTGGTTTTTGGTCATCAGTGTCTAATGTATCAAATCTGTTCTTCAGGTGATTTCTAAATTCAGGTGGGATGTATTTAAGGTCATATTTTGTCTCTCGTGGACTTGTTTTCATTTTCTTCAGCTCCAGTCTCAATTTGCATATAAGTAATTTATGGTCTGTTCCACAATCTGCCACTGGACTTGTTTTGGCTGATGATATAGAGCTTTCCCACCATCTCTTTCCATAGATGTAGTCAATTTGATTTATTGTATTCCATCTGGTGAGGTCCATGTTTTATGATCACCTTTTATGCTGTCTAAAGAAGGTATTTGAAATGAACAGATTATTGGTTTTGCAGACTTCTATTATGCTATCTCCAGCATCATTTCTATCACCAAAGCCATATTTTCCAACTACTGATCCTTCCTCTTTGCTTCCAACCTTTGCATTCCAATCACCAGTAAAGATCTATACATCTTGATTGCATGTTTGATCAAATTCATATTGAAGAAGTTGGTAGAATTCTTCTATTTCATCCTCACTGGTTTTAGTGGTTGGTGCATAAATTTGAATAATAGTGGTATTACTGATCTTCCCT